TGTCCCAGCACCACTTGTTGAAGAGACCATTCTGTCCCCAATTGAATGGTCTTGCAACTCTTGTCAAAAATCTATTGACTATAGACATACAGGTTTATTTCAAGACTCTCAATTCTATTTGCACTGTGTACATTTAAAATTTTTTGTATACTATGATGATTCTACATCTTAAAAAACTTTTCTGGTTGGGAGAGATACTGCCCCTCCCAGGCTAGCCAATTCTTAGAGATAGCAAAAGGCCCAGCCTACAGTATACCTTTGATATGCAAACTAACCAATCCAGAGCCATACCTCCTCTTTCTGGACCATGCATCCCAGGAGGCAATAATCCTCTGCCTTAATCATCCCAGGGCTAAGTACCAGAAAACTAGAAATCACCACTTTAGCCCAAAGTTTGCTGAAGTTATTCAAAGTAGCCAATTCTAAACTGTTTATCACGCCCTGCCTTGCCTTTCCTGTGGAAACTCCAGTAAGCGCCATGGCCTAAGTGCTCCCTCCCTCCTGTCTTCTGTCTCCTGACCACCCCAGTGTTTTTCCAGGTGGTCCTGCATGGTATGCTGCACCTCCTGTCACTAGGACCTGTGAGTATAATGAACTCTGTTTTCCTGAGGCTCTCCCGTGTCTCCTCTTGTGGCTGAACCTGACTGACCATCTCATAAAAAAATGCATAACGCTATTCCATTGATGTATATGTCTATCTTTATGCCAGCACTGCACTGTTTTGATTACTGTAGCCTTGTAGTAATTTTTAAAATCAGGAAATGTCAGTCTTCCAACTTTGTTCTTCTTTTTCAATATTGTTTTGGCTATTTGGGAGTCCCTTGAATTCCATATGAAATTTAGGATTAGTTTTTCCATTTTTGCAGAAAAGGCTATGGGATTTTGATAAGGATTGCTTTGAATCTAGAGATCATTTTGGGGAGTATTGCCATGTTAACAATATTATGTCTTCCATTCCATGAACACAGGATGTCTTTCCACTTATTCAGATCTTCTTTAATTTCTTTCAATAATGTTTTATAGTTGTCAGTATAGAAAACTGCACTGAATATTCAGGACTACCCATTGCACGACTGCAGAATGTAGAAGTGAATCAGCCACGACAAGACATAAGATGAGGATTCAGATTAGAGATAGGAGAGATACTGCCCTTTCCATTCCTGGCCATAACTTAAGTGTGAAAAGAAGGTGGAGCCCATTATAGCACCCAGAATGAGAAAATACTGAGAGCAGTTATCTTACAGAACAGTGTCTAAACTGGTATATTAGTGATCTATTGCTGTGTAAAATATTACTACAAACCTTTCGCAGCTTAAAACAAACATTTACTACCTTATAATTTCTGTAGGTTAGGAATTTGGGAGCAACTATCTAGTTGACTCTGGGTCAAGGTCTCTTGTGAGGTTGCACTCAAGTTGGTGGCTGGGGCTGTCATCATCTGCAGGCTTGATCAGGGCTGGAGGATCCTCTCACAAGATGACTCAGTCACATGGCTGTTGGCAAGAGGTTTCTGTTCCTTGCCATGCTGGCCTCTCCATAGGGCTGCTTGAATGTCCTTACAACATGACAGTTGGCTTCCCTCAGAGTGAGTGATCCAAGAGAGAGGACCAGGATAAATCTGTAATGCCTTTTATGATCTACTATCAACGGTCACACAGAGTCAATTCCACCATATTCTATCTGTTAGAAGAGAGTTAATTAATCCAGCCCATACTCAAAGGGAGAGGAATAGCCCCCCCTTTTGAGGGTGGCAGTGTCAAGTAATTTGTGGATGAATTTTAAAACCTCCACACTGAAGAATGTAGTCATCTCTTCCATATGCTCTAGTCTGACAGAGCACCAAATACACACTCCAAAAACAAAAAACAAAACCTGGTACAACTATTTACATAGATCATTAGAGACAATACAGAGGACAATAATGACACATTAGAAACTTTCAGTGATATGATATGTTGTACATTTTTAAAGGCATGCTTAACCCTTTTAGGAATATAAGAAATAAATCTGAATTTAGATTATAAATTTTTTCTTGAAAGAACACTACCATAAAATGGGAAAACCATGTGCATCTATATTTTATAGTAAATCTTTTGAAATTTCAGGGGATGAGAAGTTTGCAAAACTGGCGCTGACATAAAGTAGCCATCAACGGTTTAAGTGTGTTAAAAGGACTGTTAAAAACTGAATTGGTGGCACCGGCCCGATGGTGTAGTGGTTAAGTTCACGCATTCCGCTTTGGCGGCCCGGGGTTCGCAGGTTTGGATCCCAGGCACAGACCTACACATCACTCATCAGGCCATGCTGTGGCAGCATCCCATATACAAAATGGAGGAACATGGGTACAGATGTTAACTCAGGGCTAATCTTCCCCAGCAAAAAGAGGAAGAGTGGCAACGGATGTTAGCTCAGGGCGAATCTTCCTCACCAAAAAAAAAACCCCAAAAAACCTGAATTGCTTTGGTTGTCTGGTCCTTCTTTCTAGTTCTAGGATACCACACTAGAAACAAGAAGATTTGTTTGTCATTGTCATTGTCATTGTCAATGTTGGTACAGAATTGTTTTTAAAACCTAAGAGCTTATGATCATAAAATGAAGCTCTCTGTGGTATTTCAAAGATCTCATGCTGTGCGTCTGCTTTTAGGTCCACAATTGCCAAGAAATGATTCAGTTGCTCTCAGAGAAGTGAGTATTCTAACTCTCTGAGTATGGAATTAGCTAAATTCACAACCAGTTTGATAACTAAATAGAAAGATTGGTTCATGGTAATAAAAACAACATTGTTTTGTGGAGTGAAAATTATAAGCCAATATATCTCAGAGACATGTTCTTAAAATATTTTCCTGAAAAGACTTTCATGGGTCAGCATTGTTTGTTCATGACAACAATTTCCAGGCAAGTGACAACTGATTCATGAGTGTGAATTTATGGGACACTGAGCATAACATCAGGAAATAATACTGCAAGTAATTATCACACATAAAAGACCTCCTGTTGAAAATGTCAGTTACACCGAGAAAAATTACCCATACTACCTGCACCTGCCTGTTTTAGGACTGCTCGTTCTACTTTATATATTACAGGACTAGCATATTAAGATGCTAGAAACACTCAGGGGTAAAATGTTTCTCTATTTTCATCATCCACCAGTTAGTCTGGTCTACACAGGGACTCACACGTTTGGCAGTTGGTACTGGCTGCAGGTTGGGAATCCAGCTGGGGCTGTCAGTGCATCAGTTCTTTCTCTAGGGGCCTCTCCACATGGCTATGTGGGCTTTCTCATAGCATGAGGGTTGGCTTCCAAAAAGGATTAATCCAAGAAGTGAAGGTAGAAGATGCAAATCTTGAAAGTTACAGCATTGCTTTATCTGCATTCTATTAATCAAAACATGCAGAAAGGTCTGACCCAGCAATGGGTAAGGAAATCAACTCCATTTCTTGATGTGGGAGTGGCAAGTTCCCTTTATAAACTAGCTTGTGGGATGAGTATTAGAAGACAATTCTCCCTACATCTGTAGTGTTCCTGCATGGTCCAGTCCCTCTAAATTAAGGCATTTACAAAATATTTCTATAAAGAAACATTCCAGCATATAAAGCTTAGATCTCTCTGTGGAAATGTCCCAGAGAGTAAAGATAAAGACATTTCCTTCTCTTCCCTGGAGAAGATTTGCTTACATTCCAGAGTAAAGATAGGTTCTATCTCTCCTCTCTCTCTGGAAGGAAGGATGGGCAACCCTATATGAGATTAAGTTTCCTAATTTGTGGATTTCTCTCCTTTAATGCACCCAACCTCATATGTACCATCAGGCCCTCACCTCATAATACTGTGGGATTGTGGCTTGGGGAACTGACACAAGATGCTACATCGGTTGCTGCAATTGCTGTCAGAAATAAATGCTCTTGGTCTTTGATTCAGTGTGGTTGTGTTTTCTGCAAGTAGGGTAAAACTTAGATCCTTCACAGTTTCTAATCTAACAATAGGAGATATTTTTGCGACCACATTTGGAAATACAATTTACTATACTCAAGAAGGAAAAAAAGCATCAGCATTGGCAGCAGGGACCCCAAGGAACAGGAGAGGAAGGGTCATTTTGACTGATCTAAGTGGATAAGTGATCCCAAGTGGGAACCAATAGGTAAGGAAAATGTCTGAGGAACAGACTAGTTTTGGAAAGAGAAGCTACTAGGAAGTATTCTTAAGTCTCCTGCATATTTTCCTAGAGGAGAAAATTGGATTATTCCCTGGGATCTCTAATATGAGGCAGAAGAGGTTACATTTTGAGGAACTGCTATAGGTTAGTATCCCCAACACATCCTAGAGGCTATTTGAACAGCACAGTTTCTAACAAAGTACAGCAAAGTTACATTCATAAGATGCAGCAGACAAACTTTGTTTAAATAGTGAAGGTCTTAACTTCAAGAAGAGTTGGAAGTTTGGGTTTATAGTCCAAGATCCACCATATCAGTTTACTCCCTCTTCATTAAGTCTTATGGTCATAGCTTCATAATATTAATCAAATTTAGTTTTTCTTTACCTAGTTTTTCCTCATAACTTTATTATAACACTAGCTACACACAACCATTATTACAATTGTATGTGTTTGTCTTCTTCCTTAGATTGTGAATCTCTGGAATTCAGGATAATGTCTTAGTTATTTCTGTGGCCTTCAAATTATTAAACATGGTGTTTTGAACAGAATAAGCATTTGATATTTAGTAAAACCAACTTAATTCTTAAATGGCCGTTGTATTCAAGAGCTACAAATGTTGCTTTGAATGAACAATGTTAATTGTCTACATTTTATTCTCCAATTAAGTAATACCAAATATGAGTTTTTTTCATGGTGTACTATTCTGCATAATGACATTATCTGCCCAGATTTAAAGCCTGTTGTCTACTGATCATCTGTATTAATGCAGATAGTGAATTATTTAAATAGCCTAATACTGGTGTAAAGCCATCTGAAAAAGAAGAAGCAAAACTGTACATTAAACTGAGTCTAGAAATCCACCTTACTCCAGCTCCCAAACCTGCCACAGTACCACATGCTTTGCCCAAAGATTTTACCATATTTGTCTGTCTTCTCTCCAACTGCATCAACCGTGCCATCTGGATGTAGACGGACAAATCCTCCAGTAAGCCTGTTGTAGAATTGAAGAGTATTTCCTTTCATAAACTTCCAGTTTTCTGCAGTCCACTAAACAGAAAAACAAAACAAAACAAACAAAAAACACCAACATGAGACGACAAAGAGAAGAAATTACTAAGAAACATCCCTTATTAAACATTATATACTATTTTGTTTTAACACATCAAATAGCTATTTAAACATTGTTTGTACTAAATAATTTAAGGCCAAAAATAAAATCTTACTGTTTCTTTTCTACGAAGTTCTAGCTTCTGCCCTGAGGATGTAAGGAAAAGAGAGAACCATTAATTTAAGCAGTGTCATACTTTCCTCAACAGAAAATTCATAAAACAGAATTTTCTAAGAAACATGTGTACATGCTACTCACTTGCAAAGATGACACTATTATCCCTGCCATACAGTTCTCTGACAATTTTGCCATCATCTTCTCCTTGATCCAGCCATCTGTAGCAAGAAAAGTGTATTGATTGTATTCTGGCTTGATATTTACTCTAACCACTTGCAATTATCTAGCCAAGTCAGAAATAATGGATAATGGGAATTGGAAACAGCCATAGTTATCTAGTTGGTAAAAGGAGAGGGTAGAAAATAAAAAAGGAAATGTATAAAATCACTATGAGAGTGCAAGGGAGGTAGGAGAAGCTGCAGTCAAGTAAGGATGAAACATGTTTTTCCCTAATCCACGGGTGACTTACTCAATCAGTTAGCCTGCCAAGGTCGTAGATTGTACATCCACTGGACCAATTATTTTATCTCGTTCTTTGGCCACCAACTACAATTCAAACTATTTAGTAATTTATTTCATAAATTATTATGTTATTTCATAAATGGCTATTATTGGTTCCATGGAGAAAGAGGCAGGAGAGTGTTGAAAGAAAGAACAAACCTATCACCACTACTGGGAAAATAACTCAAAAATCAAGTCTTAGTGACAGTGGGTCAGCAATGTCATTGTGGTATAAAAAACTACACGCAACATATATTTGGTACACTTATTATCTTTGAACCTAATTTGGGACCTAGTCCAAAGGGAATAAGTTTTCTTGCCAAAAACTTTCATTCTCCTTACTGATACATAAAGAGAAATCATATTTTAAAAATCTACCTTAATTTATCAAGAAAGATTCAAATTTGTTTCACCAGGAATGATCATAAACATAATGGAGATCTTTCTAAATAGAAGAAGCAGCCCATAAAATTAATGTTCACAAAAGTTACCCAACAAAGGATCAATGACCAGGAATAATTGAATAAGCTATCCAGTTCTCCAAAACACATGAACTTGGAGAAGCTGACTGATATGAAATGAATTTGTGCAATGGAAAAGCACACCTACAAACCTGTGACAGAGGAAGGCATATTCATGGTTCGTCGTGGGATCCTTGACTACAACATCTTCAAGAAACCAGCCATTTCCTAAACTCAGATTAGGAAAAGAAAAATGTTGTGTGAATATGTATGGTCCAGGTATTACCTGAAGTTTTGAGAAAGAGGTTCCAGCTTCCAAATATATGTAAAGGCCTTGTACAGTTTTAAGCTTTAATACTTCAAATAAAGCAAGATATAAGAGAAGCAAGCTGTAAGAAGCATTTAAAAATATTTCTTATACATGTAACAAAAGCACAGCATATTTTAAGACTTCATGTTTTATGATATCTGCTTCACTATGATTTTCCAAACAGTTGAAAATAGAAAAATTCTGCAGTTGCTCTTGATATCATAAACTGCACTTATAATCCTTGACCTAACATATTCCAAAGAATATATCTGATAAGTTACCTGGGCCGAGCCCATCATGGCCTATGACAATCTTGTACAAATCCCCAAGGTGCACAGCTTCCAGGGAGAAGGTGTCAGTCTGTAACAAATCAAAAAAGTATAGCTTGATCCAGACTGAGTCTGATTTCTAAGAGGAGTAAAAATTAAGATACAATAAAAATTGAGTGTGAAAATAATTGGGTTCATTCAGTAAATACACAAATCTGTCTAAATCAATAAAGTAAAGGTAAAACAATAATATTGATAGAGCATAATAACAAGTTTTCAAATATACTCTGCTCCTTTGTTGCCAATTTTTCATTATAAAAGCATAAATTTTAGAACTCTCTACAACTATATTTTTCAAATATCGATAATATAAATGTAGTAATTATAAAATATACTAAAAACTTCCATTCATTTGAATACAACCAACTCTTATCTCCCCTAGGAGGGAATTTTTCTTAGCAATATTTATGGGCTATGCATAAATATAATGTTTCTAAAGTAATTTTAGGATACTGATGCAAGAATTATTGGAAATTTATAACATTTATCCGAAGTCCCAAGGTGCTGCTGCAATCAAACCTATTAATGTTTCTGGGTCCAGTGGTTTATGTATTCAGAATACGGGTAAAATTGAGGAGCCCAGAGTTCTTTTCATAACATTTAAGATAATGCTAAAGGTTAAAATGGAAAAAAATACATGATGTAGTATATCAATTGAAAAATAATCCAGAAACAAAAATAACCTTTGCATTTATATAGCATCTTATACATTTTGGAATTTTTTCACATACATTTTATTTTATCCTTAAAAGTGACTTAGTGAGAAAAAAAATATCCATTCTACAGATAAGAAGAGTGAGGCTCAGAACCAGGATTAGAGCTCAGTTCCTCTGATATGTAATAAGACCACTTTCCTTTGCAACGACTCTGCCTTTACATAAGTGAACTATAAAGAATATAAACAACAGATAACAAAGCCATTAGTATTCATTAACAAAATAATACTGTCCAAACCTGGTACAGGTTAATGAGTAACATTGTTATCCTTTATCCATGAAACAGATCCCCTAGAAAAGGAAGACTTGCTATGCAATAACAGAAAATGCCGGCAGAAAAATTATGAGTTATAATACTTAAGATAATTGACGTAGAAAATGCTAAAAAAAAAAGAGAGGAAACATGTAATGAAAATATCCTGACATACTCACTTAAAGACTATTTGAGTCATCAAAAAAAGTTAAGATAACTAGACTATAGTAGATCCTCTGTGCTTTACTCAGTTAAAAAAATTAAGTATTACTTGCATATTAATAATAGTAAAAATAATGTAAGTATCCAGTTTCTACATTTGACAGTGAAAGTTGTTATATATATTACCCTCATTTAACAATTTTAAGGTGGGTTTAAAAAAATCAGACAATGGGGAATAACTTCTGCAAGATGGTAGACTAGGAAGCTCCAAGTCCTCACTCCCCCATGGAGACACTGTTTTAACAATATATGGACCTGTGAATATTTCTGTGAAAACTGGACACCAGATGAGAAACTGCAGCACCAAGTCCAACACACAATGAAGAAGGGACTCCATTAAAAGAGGTAGGAAAGTTTGTGGCTTTTTATGTGCTCATGCCTCTTCCCCTACTTGGCATAGTGCAGTACAACTGGGAGGAAACCTTCTATACCCTAGATCCTCTCTTGGGAAAGAAACAAAAAAGTGGACCATGCATACACAATTCTGGCTTCTCTGAGGGCTACCCAAGGGACAGATTTCTCTCTCACTTAACTTGGAGTACTAATAGTAATGGCAGCATAGTTTGAAAGCCAATGAAAACAGAGGAGAGTACTGTGCCATGCAGAGCTACAGAGATTCTGCAGTATAGCAGGCAGACGTTGGGGGGGGCAAGAGATTATGGGCACTGAAGAAGAAACAGGAGCAAGCAGCTTAGGGAAATTAAGACAGTTAAGAACAAATATACAAACCCAGAGAAGAGACACAGCCAGAAAAATATTGAGAGGTCCCAGAAACTCTAACCAGGCTCATTGGTGAAGGTCTTCCCCTGCACAAAGTCAACCCTTTAAGACTAGGTGAGATAGTTCTTTATTCAAATGCACAAATCTCAACAAAAGATCACAAGGCATATAAAGAAAGTAGAAAACATGGCCCAATCAAAAGAATGAAATAAAATTCCGGAAACCAACTCTAAAGAAACACAGATCTCTGGAATTCCTGAGCAAAATTTGAAACTGTCTTAAATATGTTCAATAAGCTAAAAGATAATGCAGAAAGTCAACTAAAAGAAATCAGAAAACCAATGCATGAACAAAATGAGAATATCCACAAAAAGAAAGACAAAATATGAAAGCAACAAACAGAAATTCTGGAGCTGATAAATACAATAACTGAATTGACAAATTCATTAGATAATTTCAATAGTGGACTTGATCAGGGAGAAGAGAAGGAGTCAGTGAACTTAAAGACAGGTCATTTGAAATCATCTAAACTGGAAAAAAAAAATGAAGAAAATGAAGAGATCCTAAGCGAATTTTGGGATACCATCAAACAAAAGAGTACATGCATTATGAGAGTCCCAGAAAGAGAAGAGAGATAGAAAGGGCAAAGAGCTTATTTGAAGAAATAATGGTCCAAAACTTGCCAAATCTGAGGAGAAAAATGGACATACAAATTCAAGAAAATCAATGAATTCAAACTAAGACAAACCTAAAGAGACCCAAACCAAGACACACTATCACCAAAGTGTCAAAAGTTAAAGAAAAAATATCGAAAGAAGCAAGAAAAAAGCGACTCATCATGTACTAGTGAGTTTCTATAAGTTTATGAGTGGATTCCTGAGCAGAAATCATGCAGGCTAGAAGGCAATGGGATAATATATTCAAACTGCTAAAAGAAAAATCTGTCAATCAAGATTTCCATATCAGATGTAACAGTCCTTCAAAAATAAAGAAAAAACTAAGACTTTCCCAAATAAAATGAAAGCTGTGGGAGACTTCATTACATTGGAATTCTCTATAAGAAATGCTAAAGGCAGTCCTTCAAGTTGGAAAAAAGGACACTAGATAGCAACATAAAGCCATACAAAAATATATTCTCACATTAAAGATAAATACATGGACAAATATAGTAACTTATATTATTATAATTTGGTGTATGTCTACTTTTAATTCTTGCATAGAACTAAAAGACAAAGGCATAAAAAACTATAAATCTATGTTAATGGGTATATAATATATAAAGACATAATTTGTGACATCAATAACATAAAGTAGGAAGGTGGAGCTGTAAAGGAGTAGAGTTTTTTGTATTGAAGTTTGATTGAAGTTATCAGTTTAAAACAGATTGTTATAACTTCAAAATGTTTTATGTAACTGCAATGGTAACCACAAAGATAATATCTATGGAATATACATAAAAGGAAAAGAGATACTAAACAAAGCATTTCACTACAAAAAAATCAAGAAAACACAAAAAAATATTCTAAGAGAGAAAGGGAGGGGCAAAAAAAGCTAAATGACATACAAAAAAACAAAAAATGGCAGTAGTAAATATTTCTTTATCAGTAACTACTTTAAATGAAAATTGATTAATTCCCACATCAAAAATACAGATAGGCTGAATGGATTAAAAAAATTTAACTATATGCTGACTAAAAAATAGACTTACTTTAGATAAAAGGACACACACAGGCTGAAAATAAAAGAATGGAAGAAGATATATCACTCAAATGCTAACCAAAAGAGAGCAGGAATCCATACTTTACAAGACAAAATAGACTTTAAGTCAAAAATTTTCACAAAGACAAAGAAAGACATTGTATAATGATAAAGAGTCACTTCAACAGGAAGCTATAACAATTATAAATATATATGCACCTAACATTAGACTTCCTAAATATATGAAGCAAACATTAACTGAACTGAAGGGAGAAACAGACAGCAACACAATAATAGTAGGAGATGTCAATGCCCCACTTTCAATAATAGATACAAGAACTAGACAGAAGATCAATAAGGAAACAGAGGACTTCAACAACACTATAGAACAACTGGACCTAACACACATATACAGAACTCTTGACCCAACAACAGCAAAAGCAAAAGATACATATTTCTTAAGTACACATGGAACATTCTCCAGGATAGATCACATGTTACGTCACAAAGGAAGTCTTAACAAATTTACATATACTGAAATCACACCAAGTATCTTTTCTGACAACAATGGAATAAAACTAGAAATCAATAGCAGAGGGAAAACTGGAAAATCCACAAACATGTGGAAATTAAACAACACACTCCTATACAACCAGTGGGTTAAAAAAGAAATCACAAGGAAAATTAGAAAATATATGGAGACAAATGAAAATGAAAACACAACATACCAAAACTTATGGGATGCAGCAAAAGCAGTGCTAAGAGGCAAGTTTATGCCCATAAATGCTTACATTAAAAGAGAAGAAAGATTTCAAATCAATAAAATAAATTTGCAAATCAAGGAACTATAAAAAAAAGAACAAACTAAACCATAAGTTGGAAGAAGGAAGGCTATAATAAAGATTAAGCAAAACAAACAAAATAGAGAATAGAAAACAACATAAAAAATCAAGGAAACAAAGAGTTGGTTTTTTGAAAAGATCAACAAAATTGACAAATCCTTAGCTAGATTAACTAAGAAAAATGAGAGGACTCAAATTACTAAAATCAGAAATGAAAGAAGGAACATTACAACTGATGGCACAGAAATAAAAGAGGATGGTAAGAGAGTATCATGAACAATTATATGCCTACAAATTGGACAACCTAGAAGAAATGGATAAATTCCTAGAAACACACAAACTACCAAAAAAGAATCATAAAAAAAAAATAGGAAATCTGAAGAGACCAATAAGTAGTCAGATAAGAGACAATAAGTACCAGTTGAAGCAGTAATCAAAAACCTCCCAAATGTCTCAAACATTTAAAAAAGAATTAACACCAACTCTCCTCAAACTCTTCCAAAAAATAGAAGAGAAGGGAACACTTCCAAGCGCCTTCTATGAAGCTGGTATTAGCCTGATACCAAAGCCAGACAGACACAACAAGAAAACTACAAACCAATAACCTTGAAAAATATTGATGCAGAAATACGCAAAAAAATACTCAGAAACCAAATTTAAAAGCAGATTAAAAAGATTATACCCTATGACCAAGTATGATTAATTCCTGGAATGAAAGGATGGTTCAACTTATGAAAAATCAATGTAATAAATCATATTAACTGAATGAAGTACGAAAGTCAGATGATTGTCTCAATTTATGCAGAAAACACATTTGACAATTTTCAGCACCCTTTCATGAAAAATGCACTCAAAAAACTAGAATCAGGGCCAGCCCCATGGCTTAGCGGTTAAGTGCTCGCCCTCCACTGCTGGTGGCCCGGGTTCGGATCCCGGGCACGCACCGACGCACCACTTCTCCAGCCATGCGGAGGCCGTGTCCCACATACAGCAAGTAGAAGGATGTGCAGCTATGACATACAACTATCTACTGGGTCTTTGGGGGGGGGAATAAGTAAATAAAATCTTTAAAAAAAAAAAAACTAGAATCAATATAGAAAACTTGAAAACTACCTCAATATAATAAAGGCCATATACGAAAAGTCCACAGGTAATGTTATATTCAATGATGAAAGACTGAAAACTTTTCTATAAGATCAGAAACAAGACAAAAATGCCTTTTCTCACCACTCCTATTTAATATAATATTAGCCAGGGCAATTAGGCAAAAAAAAGAAATAACAGTCTTCCAGTGTGGAAAGGAAGAAGTAAAATTATCTCTGTTCACAGATGACATGATCTTTTCTATAGAAAACTCTAAAGATTCCACCCAAAAAAATCCTGTTAAAACAAATTCAGCAAAATTGCATGATAGAAAATCAACACACAAAAATCAAGTGTTCTCCCTTCAATTACAAACTATCATCAATATGAATTTGAGCTTCCAAACGGAGGCAGTTGCTAAGAGAACACCTCAGTTGACATGCTGGTTTCTCCAGAATATATAACACTAGAGACTAAGCAGAATCCTAATGGATTCTGGTGCAGCCAAATGGAAAGTGCACATCTGTTGTTATCTGGGAATTCAAAACTGGAAATAAAGTGTGTTACTTTATTCACTTAAAAAAAAAAAGTTGTTCTTCTATACATTAACAATGACCAATTTCAAAAGGAAACTAAGAAATCAAATCCATTTACAATAGTATCAAAAAGAATAAAAAATTTAGGAATAAACCTAACCAAGGAATTAAAAGACTTGTATATTAACAACTTCAAAACATTGCTGAAAGAAATGAAAGCAGACACAAATAAATAGAAACACATCCTGGGCCGGCCCCATGGCTTAGCGGTTAAGTGTGCGCACTCCGCTACTGGCGGCCCGGGTTCGGATCCCGGGCGCACACCGATGCACCACTTGTCCAGCCATGCTGAGGCCGCGTCCCACATACAGCAACTAGAAGGATGTGCAGCTATGACATACAACTATCTACTGGGGCTTTGGGGGGAAAATAAATAAATAAAATTATAATAAAAACAAAAAAAGAAACACATCCTATGTTCATGGATTGGTAGAGTTAATATTGTTAAAGATGTCAATACTACCAAAGCAACCTACAGATTCAACACAATCTCTATCAAAATCCCAATCGCATTTTTGCATAAATAGAAAAATCCATCCTAAAATTCATGTGAAATCTCAAGGGACCCTGAATTGTCAAAACAATCTTAAAAAAGAACAGACGTAGAAGTCTCACACTTCGCAGCTTCAAAACATATTAAAAAGCTACAGTAATCAAAATGATGTGGTATTGACACAAAGACAGAAATACAGACCAATAATATAGAATAGGGAGCCTAGAAATAAACCCTCATATATATAGTCAAATGACCTTCGACAAGGGTACCAAAACCACTTAACAGGAAAAGAACAGTCTCTTCAAAATAGTGTTGGGAAAATTAGATCTCCAAGGCAAAAAAATGAAGTTGGACTCTTACCTTATAGCATATACAAAAAATAACTCAAAATGTATTAAAAATCAAAGGTAATACTCAAAACTAAAAACTCCTAGAAAATAACATAGGGGAAAAGTTTGAGAATATTTGATTTGGCAATGATTTCTTAGATAAGACACCAAAAGCACAGGCACAAAAAGAAAGGCAAAATAGACAAACAGGACTATATCAAACTTAAAAACTTCTGTGCATCAAAGGATACAATTAAAGGAGTGAAAAAGCAACTTACACAATGGGAGAAAATATTTACAAATCATATATATGACAAAGGGTTAATATCCAGAATATATAAAGAACTCCTACAACTCAACAAGTAAGCAAATAACTTGATTTTAAAACGGCATAGGACTTGAATAAACATTTCTCCAAAGATGATTTACAAACGGCCAAGAAAAGTATGAAAAGATGTCAAAATCAATTAAAATTAAAGAACTGCAAATCAAAACAATGAGATATCACCTCACACCCATTAGGTTGGTACTGTCAAAAAACAGAATAACAAGTATTGCTGAGAATGTTGAGAAACTAGAACCCTTGTACACTGCTGGTAGGACTGTAAAATGGTGCAATCACTATGCAAAACAGTATGCCAGCTTCCTCAAAAAATTAAATATAGAACTTCCATATGATCCAGCAATCTCGCTTCTGAGAATATATCTAAAACAATTGAATAGAGGGTACCAAAGAAATATTTGCACACCCACGTCCATAGCTGCATTATTAACAATAGCCAAGAGTTCAAAACAACCAAAATGCCCATCAATGGATGAATGGATAAAGAAAATGTGGTATATACAAACAATGGAATATTATTCAGCCTGTCACATTCTAGAACATGGATGAAACTTAAGGACATTATGCTAAGTGAAATAAGCCAATCACAAAAAGACAATTACTGTATGATTCTAACCATATGAGATACCTAAAGCATTTAAATTCATAGAAACAGAGAGTAGAATAGTGGTTACCAGGGGTTGGGGAAGGGGGAAATGAGAAGTTGTTTAATGAGTATCAAGTTTCGATTTTGCAAGATGAAAAAATTCTGGAGACCTGTTGCACAACAATGCGAGTATACTTCACATTATAGAACTGTGCATTTAAAAATATTTAAGATGGTAAATTTTGTTTTATCTGTTTTTTCCACAAGTTTTTTAAAAGTCAGACAAAGCACTTTTTGCTCACTTACTTGTCCTCTTAAAAAACTGAAGGAGCTCTTCAATCTAAATAGTTGTCTGGATCCTGTATCTCCCTTTTCCCCATAGACAGACATGTAGACATTCGCTACTGTTCCAGCATTCCAAAGCTCACCCGTTGCCACGTGCACTTCATATACTGTCACTGACAACAAAAGAAAAACAAGCTTTATATGCCAAGCATACTCATATAATAGGAAATTTACATATATCCAATCAAGAGTCTCAGTTCCAGGTAAGATATAGAAACATACTCCACCTAGTCTCTCCCACTGAATACAGCTATCAAATCTTGACAGAACGCATGGAGCTTGTATATGAAGACTGAAAAGTATATAGCAGCAGGAGGATTGGGGAAGGAGACCAGATTTTAAAGTATCAACAAGTGGTGGTGAGTTTACCATTTTTCATCCTCTGGTATCTCCTTGCTTGGGCTTAGTACACCAGAAACCTGGAAGGAGGCACTGGAGTTCAGACACAGGGAGCTCAGGAGAAGCTCTCTGGATCTGGTTGAAGAAACAGGAAAAGGAACTCCTAACACATAGAAAAGGTGCAGATATTCTACCGTTGTTTTTCTTTTTCATTTCTCCATTCCCTCACATCCCAGTACCTGGGCACAGAAGCATAAAAGAGCCAACATTCTGAGAGAGAACTTTCGTCTCTCTTCAGAGGAGCTGGGCTTCAATAGGGTGGGACCAATCTCTATTGCTTTCTTTCCTTTGTCTGTCTTATGACTGCTTAGCCCTAGACACAAGGAGACTGTAGCAGTGCACAGCAAAACAGGAAAACTAAAGCACCAGCTAATTAGCAAAATGACCAAAAATAGGAGCCATGGAACTGGAAAGTACCAAAGAGGTTATGGAGAGGGAAGAAAAGCAAACCCATAAAGTTGTTTATGAACTCCTGGGCTCACCTCTAAGCTGAAGATGCATGAATCTGATCCTGAAGAATATTCAGCATACCAAAGACTTTAAGATCTCAACTAACAGATAAACCTCCACCTGGGCCCCAGATTCACCAATGAATAGTAAACATGTGGGACAGATATGAATAGCACTGCAAACCTTTTAAAACCGAACTGACACTGGAACCACAGCCCACAGACAACAGGAGGGAATTTGTGACCTGAAACAAACCAGTGGTCGAATGCCTGTTAAAATAAAAATATGAACATTCTTCATAGGATTTAAATAACACTCAGTTGTCTCAAATAATAATATGCAAAATATCTAGAATATAATTCAATATTGTTCAGCATATGAAGAATCAGGAAAATCTCAACTTACATGGGAAAAGACAACGAAGAGATACCAACTTCGAGATGATACCAGGATTAGAATTATCTAACAAAGACTTTAGAGCAACTACGATACAAACACCACTATAAACAATCATGAACACTCTTGAAACCAATGGAAAAACTGAAAGTCTAAACGACAAAAGAGAAAAGTTAAAGAAGCGTCAAATGGAAATTTTAGAACTGAAAAAACACCATAAGCAAATTTTTAAACAGACTGATAGGGTCAAGAGCAGAATGAAGAGGACAGAAGAAAGCACCAGTGAACCTGAAGATAGATTAAATAGAAATTATCCAATCTAACAACAGAGAAAAATAGTTTTTACAAAACAAACAGAGCCTCGGGGACCTGTGGGGCAATAAGAAAAAATCTAATATTCATGTCATGCAGTATCTGAAGAGAGGAGAAAGAATGTGAAGCTGAAACAATATTTGAAAAAATAATGGCTAAAAACTTCCCAAATTTGGCAAAACACCTATACCCACAAATTCAGGAAGTTCAGTAAACCCCAAACACAATGAATCCAAAGCAGTCTGTGCCCAGAAACATCATAATTAAACTGCTGAAAATAAAAGACAAAGAAAAAATTTGAAAGCAGCTAGAGAAAATGATACATTACTATAGGGAAATAATGATTTTAATGACTATAGATTTCTCATCAGAAACCATAAACGCCCAAAGGAAACAGCATGACATTTTTAAAGGGCTCAAAGCAAAGAACTGTCAATGTAGAATTCTACTTCCATCAAAAATACCCTTCAGGAATGAAGGTGACATAAAGATGTTCTCGGATGAATGAAAACTAAGAGAATCCCTTGCCATAAGACTTGCTCTAAAATAACTATTAAAGGAAATTCTTCAGAGATAAGGAAAATGATACCAGAAGAAAACTTGGAACATCGGGAATGAAGGAAGAGCAACAAAAATGAACCTGCAGAGAAACAAATGGAATAAACATGAAACTGAGTTCATGAAGTTAGCCATTTCATGGTGCACAGATACGTCAGAGGAGGAGGAATGACACCACAAACCACCCTTAGTCCCTTGAGTTTAGTCAAAAGCCTCTTTATAACATTCTAACCTGTGCACAAAAAATGAGAGATTCCTTTTTTAAACCTAATACAAATTCTCCACAAAGCCAATGATTAAAAACTAGTGTTAATATCACATATCTCTATTTCCCTGGACTTTCCAGAGAGTGTCAGCAATGCCACCTTACTAAATCCTGGCCACCTTTCAAAGTCAAAAAGGCAGCTCCTTAATTCAAGCAAGTGGTTTTACCAAAGAGTACTTGTCCTGGGATGATTTCACAGTGGACTGGTACAACAGAACCCCAGTGAACAATAAGGCCAACATAAGAAGTTAAATCTGTCTAGTGAAATTCCTCACATTTCACTAGACTTTAAGGGGTGGGAGGTGGGGAAACCCAGGCAAGGTGTGCAGACATACAAGGGACTAGAACTAGCCATAAGAAGCCTATCAGCTGCTACATGGAAGCCACCTCTCCTCAAAAATCCACAATCCTCCACCATCCCACCTGCTTTGATCACATCTCCATCACTGCCACCTACTTTCAGAGGCCCCACCTTATCAACACCTCTATTCTCAAAGGCAAACAGTGAGAAAATAGTCTACTTCATAGTAGTCACAAATTCTCTAAACACCCCTTTTTTTGTTAAGATTATTGAGGAAGACTAGAAGGAGAGTAGGGGAAGAGAAAAAAGCCCAGCTGTGGAACCTTGAGCAGATTACTCAATCTCTCTGTGCCTCAATTTCCTCATAGGCAAATGGAAGTAACAGTGCCCATCCTCATAAGGTTATGGTGTTGACTAAATGAAATAAAGTATTTAAAGCACTTCCTCCAGAGTCTGGGTCAAGAGTGGTCAATAACAGTAACAAAAATAATAATCAGATTAACTCATCACTGGGGCCACCAAACATGCCCAACTGTCTCTGTGCAGAAAAAGAAACTGAACAGCATTTGCCCTGAAATATTTCCCAATTATCATGAAACTATCTCCCCCACCCACCCTCTGCTTCTAAACTCTGCCCCACTCTTCAAGGCTAAGTCAAGTTCTGCCTCTTCCAAGATGCCACTCCTCACTGTTCACTTACTCCTCCAAAATAACCACAGCCCTTCAATCTACCTCACATTCTTTGGCATCTAATGTTCACACCCCATACTACTCCAGAAGTGGGTCCTGGGACATTCTCAGCAATAAGATACAACATGCAATACTTCAGGGCAGGACTGAATCTCCTGGTCCCTGAGTTTCCTCAATTTGCTCTTAGATGCCCAACAAAGAGCAGGGCAGAATACCAGGCAGAGACTGAATGACAAGGGTATGACTCACTGCAATACTGGACAGACAACACCTCCTTTCCAACCCATAGATGGTGCCAGGCAAGACAAACAGAACTTGAAAAAACAAATATTTTCAAACAAGCTACAGTGTCTTTAGGGGAAAACGCCATCTAGTGTGGAAACAACTTCCAAAGTTCAAACAAAATTTTAAGATAATGCGACTTCTGCAGATGTTTCACGTGACAAAAGGCTGGAAGAATAAGTACAGTAAATGTCTCAAAAATAATTCTAAAAATAATCCACACTCATCAGTTACAATGAAACTACTGCACAGTTTACCATTCATATATAGTTATTCAGCATAAAGGACAGAAAGCGCAGTGAGGTACCTAGCTTTGCTCACTTGGGTATTTTCCCTTAGGTTGTCACAACAGCGCATAAAAACATCAGATTAAATGAGTCATTACTTAGGCCTACAGCACCATTTGAAGTTATTTTTTTTAAGTATCTCAATTTAAATTTACAATTCCAAAAACATAATCCTTCATATTTGTGTATATTATACGTTATAAAGTACTTTCATATACGTTATTTAGTTTATTCCATCTAACAACCTTGTAATACAGAGAAAGGATTATTATCTCAGTTTTACAGACAAGGAATTTGAAGCACAGAGGGGTTAAGTAAATGGTCAGAGGTCACACAGTTAATTAGCAACATTTGGACTAAAATATAGTTTTAGTTGTTATTAGGTACTTTATATACATTATTGTTTTAATTGTCATTTAATTCTAATACATTATATTAGTCCTTTAACAGGATGATGTGCATACTATTATTTTACCCAATTAACAGATTAGTAAGGCAGAGAACCTCTAAAATGGGCTATATACATTTTAGAAGGTGAACAAAATGATTCCCTGAAGTGGGAATTTTAAATCTTTTAAAATATTTATTTTTTATATGTGTTTTATACAGTTATGAACCTCTTAACAATGGGGATACATTCTGAGAAATGCAGAAATTGTCCTCAGGCAATTTTGTCATTCTGCAAACATCAGAGAGTGTACTTACACAAACCTAGGTGGTATAGCCTTCTACTCACCTAGGCTATATGTACAGCCTATTGCTCCTAGGCCATAAAACTGTACAGTATGTTACTGTACTGAATACTGTAGGCTATTGTCACATAATGATAAGGATTTGTTTATCTAAACATAGAAGGTACAGTAAAAATATGGCATAAAAGATAAAAAATCGTACACCTGTACAGGGCACTTACCATTAATGGAGCTTGCAGGACTGAAACCAGCTCTGGGTGAATCAGTGAGTGAGTGGTGAGGGAATGTGAGGTCCTAAGACATTACTGTATACTGCTATAGATTTTATAAACACTACACTTAGGTTACACTAATTTATTTATTTTTTTTTTTGGTGAGGAAGATTGGCCCTGAGATAACATCTATCACCAATCTTCCTCTTTTTGCCTGAGAAAGATTGTCCATGAGCTAATGTCTGTGCCAATCTTCCTCTATTTTGTAT